TATATATTATATATATATATATATTATATATTTCTTATAAGGGTAAAATTGAATATTTTATTATTATTTTTTAGTAAAGGTATAATTATCATTTGAGGGTGCGGTGTTTATCGAAATTGGGTGCGGTGTATATCAACACTCTTTTTTGTTTTAGTTTTTTATTTTTTTATTTTTTTTTATTTTTTATTTTTTTTCTTTTAGGTTTGAGCTAACAGACGAACGCGACCGGCAAACTATCAACAGTTGTAACTTGCAACTGCCGACAGCAATTCACCTACATACCTAACCTAAACCCTTAACCGAATCAGCCAACGGTGGTGGATACAGATCTCATCGCCCTTCCTCACCAGGTATCCTTTTCCCTTGAAAAAAGCCATTCCTAATTGAGAAGATCTACGACAAACATTGAGTAAGTTTTCGGGTCAGTTTTGATCTCCAAAACTCTTCTTCTGTATGTTTCGCACTCTTATTATCAGTTTATTATCATTCTGTAAATTTTAGTCGTATCCTGCTGCAGAAAAGTTTGCACTTCTTTCATTCTTTGTACTCTATATGCGTCTGTAATGGTCAGTTTTAAGTTATTCCTATGATGTTGAGAGAAGAACAGAGTAGTTTTCGTCGGTTTCGCTATGTAATCATTCAGATGAAGGCGCAAGATTTATTTGGAGCAATAATTTTTTCATTGCTTTATATTGAACTCAATTTGTTTCCATTTGGATTTGTTACTTCTGAGTTTAGAGATATGTTTTATCAAGAAAATTGATCATTGGTTCTGCTGCCAAATACTTTATTTTTATTTGCAATGATCAATTTTTTCCTGTTCATTTTTACAGAATTATACGGGAAAATAAACTATCGGCTGAGGGGTCATGTGGTGTTGGGTCTAGGATTCAATGGCTTGCAAACAAACACGTGAAGGCAATGGTAGAGAGAAATTCACTAAGTGTTGCGGAGAATGGAAATGAAGACTATCCAAATAAAATTAAGGCAGTAGGAATTAGGCGGGAACCTTCCTTTTCGGGCTGGTGTGATGAGGGTGGAATCCCGCAGCCAGCTCATTTGAGAAGTGAGGGGGTGAGTAAAGACGACTTTAACTTTAAGCTGCCTTTGGTTCATGCTAGTGGGCCAGAAAATGAGCTTTTAGACCGAGGAAGGATTTGTTCTAGCAATTTACAACAGAAGATGGAGCACAGTGTAGCTACTGACATTACTTATACTAATAATGGCTTGAGAAACCAAAACGATAGTTATGTGCCTTTTGACATGGAAAACAACCACGATATCGAAAGTTATCATCTTACCACTGATGACCGTAATCACGTCGATTACATTTCGGCATCCAGGAAAAAGGCAGAAAACCTTATTTCTGTTGCTGATGTGCTGAAGACTTTGTTTTTCATATTGGTTTGGTATACATTCAGTACATTCCTCACACTGTAAGTTCTGTCCTTTTTCACTGTTGATACTTCTTGATACTGATATACTGTCGAAGCTTGATATTTATGTCTTATTTACTCCTTTAATCTTTCCTTTTTCTTTACTTTTCATTTCTCTTTTTAAAAATAGATATCATTCTGGTGTAGGTACAATAAAACATTGTTAGGGGATAACATGGGAAAATTCCCAGCCCCACTATTGATGAACACTGTTCACTTTACCATGCAAGCTGTGTTGTCCAAAGCCATTACATGGTTTTGGTCTGACAGATTCCATCCCTCTGCTATGTCATGGAAGGATTACTTTGTTAGAGGTAGGGCAAATTTTAGTGCGCAATCATTGATAATGTACTACTTACATTCTTCCACATGTGTATCCCGTGTGCAGTTAATACTTAATAGCTTCTATGCTTCCTTCACATTGTGCACAATAACAATCTTAAATAGTGGTTGGCCGAGTTTAACTGACTTTGTTTTGTCTATGCTGTTCATTCTTAAATTGCAAGATTATTTGAGGCGCTCATATATCTTCATTTTGTGCTTCGAAAAAGATTTGAGCTAATTGATATGATTCCCTTCTTTCCATAATATCAGTAAGCAACAATCGGGAAAAAGTGATGTTAGCAGGTTGTCTTCACTGGACAGAATAAATTCTTTTAACTTAGAGAATGGTACGAGTTATGCATGTGCTGTTCTCTTCGGGTTCTGTTTTCTTCCTTTCTTATTACACTCATAGAATTAATATATTTGATATGTCCATAAGGAGGATATGGGGAGCGAAACGATCAACCTGTATTAGCATTTGAGATTAGCGCAGTAGCTGATATAACAGCTTACTGCCTTTAGAGGCTCTGGTTTCTACTATCCTTAAACCTCCTTGTTTCAAGAAGGTGTGTTTCTTTTGCTCAATGCATTGATTGCGAAATTCATCGTGGCTCAGAGAAGTATTCTTTTAGTCTGCATCCTTAAAACTGCCTGAATCAGACAAATGAAGTTTGAGTAATGACAGTACTTTGCTTCTTAGTAGTTAGTATTGATGAAAACATGGAGTATAAATTCACAAAAGAAACTGGTTCAGTATTTGATTCAAGTTTGTCATGTTGATAGTTGGCTACGTGTGAACTGAATAACAATATAATGAAACTCTATCCTTGAAGTCTGAAGATTACCCTTGACTCTTAGTTCCTGCATAACATAGAAAACTGGGGTCAATAGTTTTTGCTAGGAGGTGTTTATGCTATTGAAAAGACCAAGCTAAGTGTACAAATTAAACTGAGATTTTTATCAATCAAAATTATTTCTGGCACTAATCTTTTCTGACTTGAATTTGTCACTTAAACTGACGAGTCAATATTTTTGAAAGCACCATCGTTCTTTCATTTCCTTTTGTTATTGAAATTCAGTAGTATCATTAACTTCTCTGACAACTAATGCTACAGATGGCCTTTGCCTTTCACAGTTGTACCTACGGCCCTCAGCACAGCAATGGATGTAAATCTAAGCAATGCATCCCTGGTTTTTATCTCTGTTACATTTGCCACTATGGTTCGTTATTCTTTTTCTGTGAAGTTAGATAATGATGTATACTGAAACTTTCGTATTTTTTTTTTCGAATTTTGACTTGGTTTTTGAGTATTTCCTCTTACTGATCGTGGTTTATATTTGTCGATTAGTTAGTTTTCGAATTTACTCTCTCAGGTTACAATTTCTTTATCGCACAAGCATCGTAAGATATTTGACACCGTTATCTTTATGCTTGCAGTGTAAATCGGCTTCACCAATATTTCTCCTTCTTTTTGCCTTTGCTTTCAGGTAATTCTCCATGAACTATGCTGGCTACTTGACATCATGACCTGCTAGGTGTCTCACTATTGTTATATTTGAAGTCAAATATAATCGAAACGTGTTGTGTCATCCCATATTTGTCATTTGTCTCTTAAAGCCACGCTGGGTCATGTTATGATTGATTGTTGGCCCTATTTTAAGTGCATTATATGCTTCTCCTTTCACCTGCTCAGAAGCTTTGTGTTTATGAACCTAAAAGTATCTTTGAATTAAAAGGTTAAGCGAGATGTTTAAATGTTCGTGTAAGGGTTTATGCATATGATATGCCTTTGCCAAATATAGGTAGGCATCTTCTGTTGTAGAAGGTTTTGCTCTGTTTTATAATACATAGCTCTGGGAATGGATATAAGCACTGGGAAGAGAATTGTTGTTTATCAGTTGAGCCGTCAATATTTTATTTACTTAACTCACTGTGTGTATTTGGCTAGAAAGAGTGTGATTATTATTGTGGGCCTCAAACCATTAGCTGAAATATTAGATATTCCAAGTCTTTGGTGTTAGCTAGGATTTATTGAGAAATTATATTTGTTGGCGGTTTTCAGCTAGAAGTTGTTCAGAATAGAAACTTTGACACCTAGGTTTATTAGATTTTTCTTAGTGCATGTGGTTGATCTATGTTCATTGATTCTTCCTACCCTTAACTCCATCAGTTTCTTCTACTGGTGTCTTTTTCATAATTGCTACACTGATATATGTACCTGTAGTCTTGTAAATTTGGTATATACTGGATTGCTGGATTTCCCTATTAATTTGCCTATGGTTCATCCAGAAATCACATCCAACTTGCACTACATTCATCTATTCAAAAGTCCTTGGGAAGTTCTGTGACCTTGCAGACTTATTTCTTTCTGTTAGTTAAACTGTCCGGAGGGTGAAAAGCTATCCTTATTGGAGTAGTTCTCATTTGATATGATCTATATTGTTCAAAAAATCACTTTTACATGTAAAATTGCGTCAGAGTTGAACATTAAGTTCCTTGCTAGTCTTCGAGTTAAGAAAATTATAGGTTAAGCATATCTGTGCTATTAAAAAGCAAAAGATAGGCAAATTATATGATGAATATGCTATCCATCTTGTCTTAGACTAGTCTCTACATTATACTACACTTTAGTTCTGGACTGGGCCTAGTCTATGACAAGATGGATGGAGTATTTGTAACATATCTTGCTTATTTGCTTTTTAATAGCACATATGCTTTAATGAATATTCCAATTTACTCAACCATGAGAAGGAATTTTGGGAATACCTCCGAAAAACTTATAAGTGTAGTTTCTGTAAAGATGGTAAAAGATCATCAGAATGCTTGTGAATTCAGATGTTGCAGCATACCACATGAAGCATTTGAATCGTTTCTCACATATAATTATGAAGAAATATATTGACATTAGTTTGACATGCTAACACAAATGGAGCAAACAACTTTGGTATTGCCCTTCGTGCTATTATGTTCAAATCTTATATGCCTCGTGCTATTTTAATATCATACTCTGCCTCCACCTACAGCCCAACTGTTTTACATCTTTAGTTCATTTGGGCTTGCTTTTGACAATATTATTGTTTTCTTGAAGATTGGAGTCGCCAAGTGCTAAGCTGCTCGGCATAATCTTAGTCATTTCAATTGGGATCTTATTAACTGGTATGAGAATCAATCATGTTTATGTTTTTTCGCTGAATTTGTGAATATTGGTGGTGTTGTGGTAAGGCAACATATCATTTGGGAAGTATGGTCAGACATGAACTTTGACTTTTAATTTTGAATAATAATAATAATATGTATATCGAGCACTTACCTTACCCTGGTCATCCCTAGGGATACTTTACCCCTGCTCCATCTTCAATCTGTCTTGCTCCAGCTGCATGTAATTTTTCCAAATGCACTTCCGAATTTATTCTCTCTGCTAACTGCACCTCCCCCCACCTTGCGGTCCATACGAACTATAAGATTAAGCAAAGAAAATCATCCAAATGTGTGCAAAGTTTGGAACTGGTATTAAGTGCTTCCAATACCCAAGCAATAATCTGACGTCAGTATGGTGATTTGATGCTGAATAATTTAAGAGTTGAGACAGTAATCGTTATCTATAAAAAAGAGATTAAAGTATAACAAAAGTTTCAATTTTCAGATAGCAGTGTTTGGTCATGCAGGTTGATATTTTATGTGCAAAGTGTCTCTTCCTTAAACGGAGTCCTCAAATGTCGTATATATGTACTAATTTAGAGCATAGGACACGGGAAAAAAAAAGACAAGAAATTTCGCCATCTTGAAGAATCCTTTGCCATGGTTGAATTTTCACACTGATTCTATTCCAAAAGTACAAGAATTGAACAATAGAAAGACGCTGGAATAACAGCTAATATGGCAATCTGTCTAGATGAATACTATTTTACTTAAGTGTTTCTATCTATTTGAATTAACATGAAGTCTTCTGAAATAAGTTATGTTATCATATTTAATTTATTGCTCGCTCCTTCCTGTTTTCTGATATGCAGTTGCAAAAGAGACAGAATTTGAGTTTTGGGGCTTCATATTTGTTACACTTGCTGCTGTCATGTCTGGCTTCCGCTGGACAATGACTCAAATTCTTCTACAGGTATGAGTGACATTAGGTATGATTCATATTGTTAAAATTGTAGTTGATGAATTTATATTTGTTTTTCTTATTTTAAATTACTTGCTTACATTCTTACATGTCTTTGATTTTGGCCTTCGTGCTTCGTTGATCCTTATGCTGGTGCTGATACAAATCTGGCATGAAGAAAGAAACATATGGTAAGTGTTACCAGATAGCATAATGCTTCAAAGTAGTATGTAGTGAATCATTTAGCTATCACACTGTGGCATGTGTGCATGCTAAGTTATATAGTAACTGGTAAGTATATCAAGGCCAAGGCTTATAAGGCCCAGGAATAACTCTCAGATATCACCTCAGAAAACCCTAGGTTTGTAACATGGTATCAGAGTAAACCAAATAGGCTTTTATTTTATTTTCCTTCAACAATCACCTCCCACATCAGTCATCTCGCCGGCGTCGCCGCCCTAATTGCGCTAATATTCACTCTCCTGCCAAATCTCGCCGGAAAATACCACGAGTGTGGGTCACACCTGCCAGAAAGGCGTGCTGCCGGCCACCTCACTCGCCGACGCGTGCTCGCCGGGATTTTTTCCGGCGAACTTCAGTGGGCTTGAGATTTCGAGACATTGCCAGTGCTCCCAGTTTCCTGTTTTGGAGGTTTTTTGCTGTCCCCTTTGGCCTTTTTCAGACATGCCACTTGTCGGGGGTTAGGTTTGTTTATTTGAATCGATCTTGACACTATTCAGTTCTTGTCTTTTGTCGTCACTCGTCTGTCTTCGTCTTAGTTTGAGCGTTTTGTTTTTGTCGTATGGGCTGTTGCTTTTTCCCCTAGTGATTGTGATCCTGCCTTCTTTATTCATCTCTCCACTTGGGTGTAGTCTACTTCTATATGTTAATGATATGTTGATTATGGGAGATGATGCATAACATATTTCCTATGTCAAGAAGCAACTTGGTGTTTCATATGTACGATTAGGGTCTTCGTAGGTACATTTTGGGCATTGTGGATTCTGGCTATTACTTTTCTTAGTCCAAATACATACAAGACTTTCTTGTTCGTTCCGGTACTGATAATCGGACAACAACTACACCTATGATCTTTACTTACAGCTTCGCCACTGATGGTACGCCTCTTGAGGACCCTCTCGCTATCGACATATTGTAGGCAGTCTCGCTTACATTTCCGTTACCATGCCTGACGTTGCTCACGTTGCTCATGCTGATCATATATTCAGTTAGTTTGTGAGTGCTTCTACGGTTTATTTTGGCATTTGCTTCATGTGCTAGGATACTTAAGGGAAACATCATCTCAGTGTTCAGTATATGCTCGTGATAGTCCGCTTCATCTTCACGCTTACTCGAATTCTACTTGGGCTTCAGCTCCATGCGTACTCAAACTCCATAATCCAACAAATCGTCATTGTGTCACTGGTTATTGCATTTTTCTTGGTTCTTCTTCTCTTACATGGAAGTCCAAGAAGAACAAGCAGACAGCTGTACCTCAAAAATTATATGGGTTCGATGGTTGTTAGCCAATTTGATGCACCTACACCTCATATTTGTGATAGTACTGGAGCAATCCAAATCGCCAATGATCAATTGAAGCATGAACTTACAAAACACATTAGTGTTGATGCTTCCTTTAACCAGTCTCATTATCATCAAGAAACAATTGTTATGTGCCATCAGAATTGCAAGTGGCTGATTTTTTCATGCTTCACTTGCTCAAACTCAATGCTTCAGATCCTCCACCTCTACCTTGAGTTTGAAGGGGCTAAAGGCCCTTAGTCTATATATATGGGCATCTTTATAAGGGAATTGATATATTCATCCAAAACCCTATGGTTTGTAACACACTTAACAGTACTGCCGGAGGAAATTAGGGTGTGTTTGTTAATGAAGTTCCTCGTAGAATTTATTTATTATAGGGAAGCACAAAAGTTGCTGAAAGTGTAACAGGACAGTGTTTGCGGTTAGAAACTAAAAGGTAGTTTAATTGATAGAGATCTATAGTAAATAACTTATAAATGGTAGAGTGCTTATTTATTGGTAAAAATGACAAAACCAGACTTATCAGAACATACTTGTCCTCGTACTTTTTTGGATTTGCATGAAATTGAGCAGAATTAAAATTTGGCGATACTAAACTTCATTTTTTAATCCGGAAGGTTAGGGTGCAATAGGATATGCTTTCATGGGTGAATAATTATGAATATGTGACTGATTAATGTAAATTTTAAAGATTAATGTGTGCAACTATTGATTTTTTTTTATTTCCAGAAACGATAGATATATATTTCAACACGAGAAAAATTACAAGCCGTAAGGCTAAATAGCCTCATGAGGTTTCAAGTACATCAGAAACCACCCTGAAATGGTTTAGAGACCATAATCAATCAATCCTACCAATAATCAAACACAGATAACACTACCATTGGATTGATTTCAATTTAAAAATTGTGTTGGAAATTGGGTAGAGAAAAGTGAAATGGATGAATAATGCATTTTGTTGGTGGATGATAAATGGATTGAATATATTCCCAGTTGCACCTATTTTATTTTATATCTTAATGTTACAATAGTATTTTGTTTTGGTGCTTGTGATTGCAAGCACTCCCTTAATATGATCCGTAGATGAATTTGGATTTTCTTAGATGTAAACATTATGTAAATGGTCTTATAAAAAAGTCTGCTCCACGTGACTGCTCTGTTATTGGTAAATAAACTGATTTTTGTTGAGGACATTGATATTTAAAGTTGTTCCGCTTGTTTTATATATGCGTAAATGTTCACACTTTCCCCCTTTTTCTAGGTCTTAAAAATCCGCTTACTTTGATGAGCTACGTGACTCCTGTTATGGCAATTGCAACTGCTCTACTTTCATTGATGTTTGACCCTTGGCAAGATTTCAGAGAGAGTGATTACTTTAACAGCTCTTGGCATATTGCCAAAAGTAGTCTGCTGATGTTTTTTGGTGGGACTTTGGCTTTCTTCATGGTAAAGAATTCTAAAGTCTATGTCTTGAATTTGGTGAAATGTGATGCATGCCAGTGTTATGTTGATACTGCAAACTTGTTTTCTTTCTCTGACATCATCTGAATTGAGTATTTCAAACAGTTGATTAATTTTGGAAATTTTTAACAACTTAAATACGCTCTTTAAATTTATGCCGGTGTTTGCTGCATGTATCTTCTTTATTCATGAGCTTCATGATCTCTAAATTGAAGGACTAAACAAACTAATTAGAACCCATTCTTGGTCTTGCTGCAGGTATTAACTGAATATATTCTTGTGTCAGTAACTAGTGCGGTTACAGTTACAATTGCAGGCGTTGTGAAGGAAGCTGTAACTATTTTGGTATAGAAGACTACTTACAGTTCTGCTATTTTAATTTCACTAGACCTGCTGAAAATTATTAGTTGATTACTTTGTTTCCCGTGCTTATTGATAACGTGTACAGCTGAGATTCTTATAGATTTGAGCAGACTGCATTTGGTATATTTCATTATTCAAAGTTTATAGAGAATAGCTTCATCTGCAGCTATAATTCTATTACCTTGATGAGGTCATCAATTATGATCATGCAAATTTCTCAACTGTAGTATTGGTGCTTCTATGCCTTCATAACAGTTCTTTGGGGCTTGAATAAAGAAAACTCGTTTCATAAATGTTCTCAATTTTAATAATCTCTTTGAAAATATAGCAAGAAGTGAGATCGTAACTGTTCTTTCAGGACTGTTCAATCATTCTATTTTAAGGACAATAGAATTGTGAATAATTGGTTATCTCGGTAAACTTCAAAATCATCCTTGTGATATAATTCGTGCTTGCTTTCTTGTTCTTAGTTGATTAAAGTATGTAGATCTCAAGACTGGTGTAAATTTATGCATGAAAACTGCAAAAAGATTAGTTAGTTACCATTTATTTCTCAAGGGAGTGCGAGCTGTCTTCACTCTCAGATCACATCGTGAAGGGGAATAATAGAATGGAAATACCAAGTAGATATAGATATCAATCTTTTGTGGGTAAACTTATCTGATTACTTACAACTTAAGTCTGAATCGTGTTGTTTGACTCAGTCATTATGCTAGGAATTATATATCTTTTTATTTTATTTTATTTTTGTTGTCTTTACGATTTTAATTTCGATAGAGTTGCTAGAATATTTATTCTTTAATTCTAGTTTCCTGTTATTTTATAGTCTTGGCAGTTATGTTCTTTTGTTTTTGGTTTTTCAGACTGATTCTGAATGATGTATATATTATTTAGGTGGCTGTGTTGTATTTCCATGATGAGTTTACTTGGCTGAAAGGAGTGGGCCTTCTAACGATAATGGTTGGTGTCAGTTTATTCAACTGGTACAAGTAAGTTATCAACCTGCATTCTTTTCAAGCAAAACTTACTATCTTATTCATATCAACATCACACTAACAGCTTCTAGCTCAGTCCTTTTTATGTGATCATTTGTATTTAATATTTTACGTGTAGGTGTAGGATGTTATTGTGGTTTTCATGAATCCTTTGTTTTTTATGATTTTTCCGTAAATATTTTCCATAGGACCAAGGGTTGCCTGAATTAATGGACTAGATTTCCTTTTTTTTTTTTGGTAAACTCTGTTTCAAAACTGGCCATTCCAATTTTGATTCTAAAACGTGAATCCTGTCTCAAGAGAAAGAAGGTGAAAAAGAAGTAAAATAGTTTTCTATTAAGCCGCTTTGGTCCAAGTGATACGAACAGTTGTTATCTAGGTAAGGACTTCCTTGGAGATTTGAAAACTTGTGAAGTTAATTGCAAAAGAATGCTATTTCAATTATACCAAGACTTTCTGCTATCATATTGTCGCCAATACATTGCTTCTGAACTATTTACAATTAAATTAATTGTTGTGTTATGTGATTTAGTTTCTAACAATAAGTATATGGTAGTTGATTTTTGTATTCTTATGGTTTGATACGTGTGAGAAATTTTTGAAAAACAATCTGGGAAGTAACAGTGATTCGTTCACTTTGTGTGTTAAATTTCATTACTTTTGTCAATTAGGTACCATAAGTTACAGAAGGGTGAAAGTGTTAGTTCGCCAGCTGAGGGTGCAACTCCAAAGTACGTCATACTTGACGAGATGGATGAGGAAGAGGCTGGATCTTAATGGCTTGATTTAATAAATTCGAGTAAGCATATTACCATATCTCAGGTACATTTCTCGATTATCTAGTATGTTACGCTTGTTATTCTTTTCTCCTTCACGTTTCATGACAGTTTGATCATGTTAGCATAACACATAATGAATACTTAATCTACAAAACTAGAGAATTTATATATGCATTATGGATTAGTTGGACAACAGAATTTACATAGACAAACAACCATTTGTGGCCTAATAGGTGCCTGCTCAATCCATTGTATATAGGTGACTGGGATGGTCCAGTATGCTGTATTCTCACTTGTTGTCCTTCAGATTGTTATTTGTATCTTTGTGATTTCTATTCGAGTCTATATATCTGATCGCCCTTATATATAACTCTCGAATGCGCTGAGTCTAAGTGGCATGTTCATATGCTTCGTAAGCTTATCTGGATAAGTTTGTGTTTCGTATTGACACATGTATATGTTTGGTTTGACTATGGAAATTACCAAAACTATTTTACCTTTCATTAATTATCATATACTACTCTTGCATCTTCTTATTTGATTCATATAATACCTATTACAAGTATCAATTCTTTTTATTTTTAGAACTTTTTTATTTGTATTTTATTTCTTATATATGTTATATCAAAATAATCATATTAACGATGTTCGATTTGATATCCATATTGCATATATAAAATAAAAATTAATTTCATATATCTTTATCAATAAAACTAATTTCATTATCAAATCAATTTAAATAATCAAATAACAATAAAAAAATTAGAAATAATAAAAATCTAATTCATTAATATACCTTTAATAATCATTTTAATGTGCTTTTTTCATAGATTTTGGACAAAATATGAATTAATTATTACATAAAATAAATTTTAAGAAATAATATAGAATATTATTTCTCCATTTTAATAGATTATATAAAGAGTTGAATGTTATTATGTCGTTTAAAATAATAAATATAAATTATCATAAAAATAGCAAAATAACTATTGTGTTTCATTAGAAACTAATACATTTCTACGTAAATTAATATTCTATATTATTCAATTATATATATTTAAAATACCTAAATAATAAACAAGCGAAAATATAAAATATAATCACAATACAATAAAACTTATTTTGTTTTAAAACTATTGAATAAAATATATGAAGTTGTAAATATAATATGTTTTAGACTTATATATTTAAAGTATAATTAAAAAAATATCATGTTTGACAAATTTATTGTAAAAATGTGGGTGCCATTTTAATTATTATCACTTTGTTAATTATTTATTATTGTTATATATTCATTATACCAAATTGCACAATAAAAATATAAATTATTTTAAATTATTGAGAAGAGTTTGATACAATTGGAGAATAATAATTAACAATATTAGAACTGGAAAATAATAATTAACAATATTAGAACCTTTAGGGAATATGTTATGTATTCAATGAACAAAAGAAAATATAATTTTTAGCATTTTCTATTGTATTAGGAATAATAAATTAATAAATTAGTTTAGGAAAACATAGGGTTGCTGCTTTTGTGTAAACCCATACACAAGTCGATGAAAAATGAGCTATTGAAGCCAAAAAGACTTGTGAAACTATGAACTAATACTATGTTTTGAACTGGAGTAATGTACCCTTTCTATGCAACATAATTGATGTAAATAAGTAATAAGAGTAATGCTAACAATTGATGCAAGAGAAATAAATTAAAGAGAGAAATGAACGAACTATCATTTTTTTTTTTTTTCTTTCTCAATGTACTAGTATTCGATCATGTGATTTTGCACAACTATAAATAAATAAAGTATTATAAGTTATTTGTATTTATATAATACTAAACTTATAAGCTAGATATTTATATTATATTTTAAAAATAGATTTATGCATATCATATTAAAATTATAATTTAGATAAATGTATTATATATGTATTATATTTTAAAACTCGATCATTTGTTAAAATAAACGATATGATTGCATATGAATCATTATATTTATTGCATAAAATATAATAAATATTTTAACTTGTGTAATTTTGAGGGATGATGACCAATCAATTAGCTAACAAATATTAAATTTAATATAACAGTTTCTTATATGATTTTAAGAAATTTTTTACTATGACATTACAAATTAATTTATTTGAAAATCAATCGCTTAATCAGTTAAAAAAAATATAATATTGATTTTAGAATAAATAACTTGAACAAAAAGTTTTTACAATATAATTTTTTATGTTTATGTAACTTTAGTGTAAAATATAATTATTAATATTAATAATAACTGTTATATACTACAATAAAAATATAATTATTACTCAATTATTATAAAATGTCACGTTTTTGTCTTAACTAAAAAGTGAAAAGAAATATTTTATCATTAATGGGATAAGGTGGATTAACAATATTAATAATAATAGTAATAATAATAATTTATTACTATATAATAGCAATAAGAAAAACTATAAAAATAGCATGACCATTTTTTATGAAGTTTTCCGTTTTTACTAATCAAAATGTTTTTTGAATTTTTTAGGCAATTCTTGCCCATGATTTTTTTTTTTTT